ATGGAAGTTCTCAATTAGACACAGTAGAAATAAATACCTATCACTGTTAATATTAATAGCAGGAGATGTAGAGTCAAATCCAGGGCCTAGATCTAAAGATAGATGCAACATCTGCAAAAAGTATGCACCATGAAACAGAAAGCCATTCAATGTGACACCTGCGATGAATGGTACCATGCATCATGTCTCCATATGAATACACCTGTGTATTATGCCTTAGGCAACAAAGATGCATCATGGCACTGTGTACCGTGTGGGTTACCTCAGTTTACATCACCACTGTTTGATTCCTTTGATGCGGACACTTCTAGCCCATACAACATCCTAAACACCATCCCAAAACAAACTCACCAACCACTAGTCAGATCCACTCCAGTTAAACCTAAATCTACTAAAATTAATACAACAGCCTGACTAAACAAACCTACTAAAGAAGTAGTACCAAAATACCTCAAAACCTTAGTAATTAATTTTCAAAGCATTAGGAACAAAAGAGCAGACTTAGAAATTTTATTAGAATGTGAGAAATCAGACATAATTGCAGGAACAGAAACTTGGCTACATCCTGAAATTTATAATGCAGAATTTTCAATAGTAAGTATGAAATTTTTAGAAAAGATAGGGCTGATAATCATGGAGGAGTTCTTTTAGCAATAAAAAAACACTCTTATAGCAGAAGAAATTACCTTACCTAACTCAAAAAATATAGAATCTACATTTTGTAAAATTAATACCACCTCAACATCCCTAATAATAGGCTGCATTTACAGACCACCAAATTCTAGTTTAGAATACATGCAGGAACTATGTAATCAGATTACTACACTTAAAGAGACAAATAAAAATGCAGTTTTTTGGATTATGGGTGATTTCAACCTACCTGATATAAATTGGAAAACACTAACCATAGATAAACACCAAAACCTTAAGGACATAAATGAGCTTTTCATAGAAACTTTACACAACCTAAGTTTAGATCAAATAATTAAAAAGCCAACTAGATTAAACAACACATTAGATCTCTTCTTAACCAACAGACCTGGATTAGTAGTTGATTATGATATTATCCCTGGTCTATCAGACCATGAGATCATAAAAATACACAGTCAGATAAAAGCAGTAGCCAATACAAAACCTAAAAGAAAAATCTTACTGTGGAATAAATGTAACCTAACACAACTACACCAAGCTGCATTAAACTTTCAACAAACATTCTTATTAGAAAAAGACATTAACCAACCAGTCCATGACCTCTGGAATTTCATTAAAAACCAACCTAGAAAGCATTATAGAAAATCATATACCAACTAAATACACATCAAACAAAAAAAATAAATGCTGGTTTAATAATAGACTAAAGAAGCTTTGTAAACAGAAGGAAAACCTATATAGAAAATTTAAAGAAACCAAGGCAGAAAGAGTTTACAAAAAGTATATAAAAATTAAACACCTAACTCAAAAAGTAAGCAGTCAGCTGCAGAGTGAATACATAAACAATGTAATATCTAAAGATAACAACAAAAACCTATGGTCATACATTAAGTCTAAGAAAATGGAAACAACAGGCATAGCGCCATTAAAAGATGAACATAACATAATACATAATGATAATGAAACTAAAGCAAACATCCTAAACAAATACTTTGCATCAGCATTCTCAGCCCCAGGAGACAAAGACATATTTCTTAATTTGAACCAAGTAGACAACATAGAAGATTTAGTAGTACAAGAAAATGGAATTCAAAAACTATTAGCCAACACCTAACCCAATAAAGCGTCTGGACCTGATGGTATTCCAGCTAGATTACTCAAAGAACTAAGCAATGAGCTTGCCCCAGTGTTCAAAATACTCTTTCAGGCATCGCTTAACCAGGGCAGAGTAGCAAAGAACTGGAAAGAAGCTGATGTCACCCCTATTTAAAAAAGGAGAAAAATCTGATCCAGGAAACTACAGACCAGTATCACTTACCAGCATCACATGTAAAATCCTAGAACACATAATATGTAGCAACATCATAAACCACTTAGACAAACATAATGTCCTCACTCCATACCAACATGGCTTTATGAAATATAGATCATGTGAAACACAACTAACAGGACTAATTGATGATTTTTCAAAAGGTTTAGATAATAGTGAACAAATAGATGCTATCTTACTAGATTTTTCCAAGGCTTTTGACAAAGTTCACTACCATAGTTTGCTTAAAAAAATAAAATATTTCGGCATTAATGGTCCACTGCATCAGTGGATTAAAGATTTTCTGATAGGGAGAGAACAAACTGTATTAATAAATGGCTCTAAATCAACACCAATAACAGTAAACTCAGGTGTACCTCAATGAACAGTCTTGGGTCCACTACTATTTTTAATTTATATAAATGATTTACCAAATTGCATTAGTTCAGGAACAAAAGTCAGATTATTTGCAGACGATTTCATATTATATAGAACAATAAAAACAACACAAGACACAGATATTTTACAAAGAGAATTAGATGAATTACAGAAATGGGAATCAAATTGGAGCATGTCTTTCCACCCAGAAAAATGTTAGTTGTTAAGAGTAACAAAAAAACTAAAACAAATTAATTCCACTTATCTTATTCATGGCAAACCAGTAACACAGACTTTAAACGCAAAATACCTAGGTGTTATCATAAATGAAAAACTGTCATGGAATCCACATATTGATGAAACTATAAAAAAATCCAACAAAGCATTAGGGTTTATTAAGGCTTAACCAGGTTTTTTTCAGAAAAGGGGGGGGGGGGGGGGAATTAGTTCGTGAAAAAATGTTTCTTTTTTTTTCTATCATTCATTAGTTATTAATAGCAAAATAAAAATAATTATCAGCTGTTTAAAGAAGTTGTGTCTTAAAAAAACAACAACCTTTTTTGTATTTAACTTCTTTTCTTTTAAGTAGTATTTTTGCTTAATGTTGTAAATTTTACCAAAGTCAGTATAATTTGTTACTGTTACTTTTTTCAAATAACGTCTATAATGTATATATTTTATATATAGTTTATAAAATGTTTTTGTTTAGTTACGAATGTGTTATATAAAGTATGTCACACGATTTATCTTATCTTCAAGTTGGTACACACATTTGTTCATGTGTTTGGTTTTGTCTTGAGTTTGTTACATTAGTGCGTTGACTTGTCTTTACTTTGTAATATATCAGTACAATAATACAACGGCTTTGTCTGCACGAGATGCGGGAAAGTATGCAGATCTCAGCTGGGTTTGCGTGGTCATGTGAAACACTGCATTTCATCTATATCTGTGGAACCGTATACATTGCTGTATACAAGAAGTGAATTGGTCGTTTAAAATGAACTGAACATCTTTTGTCTTATCATTTTGAAGACGCTCCATTATGCAGGCCCACCTATCCTGTCCTACTGGCATCTCCTGCTACACTAACTGGGTCACCTATCTTGTCGACATGTGGTGCACTGCTCTATTTACTGTTTGGTTTGTAGCTATCATCATCATAGTACACTCGGTAGTTCCTAGACCCCCTCTTCCTCTGCGATGTTTGAAGGTAGCGGTATCGTGGTTATCTCCCTTCGAGCAACAGTCCAACATTTAAAAAATATTTACTAAAAATAAAAAAAAAATGTTGAGATTAGAACGCGGTGAGATGAATCTATGTAAAAGTCAGACAAATGACTCGATAACGGTTTACTTTGTGGTAAGCAACGCATACCATATGGACTTAGCATAACCACAACGATAGACTATTTCTGGCTCACATTTTATGTAAGCTAACTCCCTTAGCACGACTATTTGTATTTCACATTAATATTAGTTAATTCCCTTTGCAGTGCCGCACCCTTACCAAAACTATGAATTGTGGCTTATTCGGTATATTTAGAGCCTAAAAAAATGAAAAAGCGAGTCATTCACTGTTATGCATCTCTAAGAAATGTTCATTAAATGCCAGAAGATCTACTTTCACAATATGATAGGCAATGATTTACGAGTGAGAAAATAAATCCATAATTAAGCTATGTAACAAAGTAAAGGTGACACACCAATAGATTGACAGCCAGGTCGAGAAGGAGAATAATCCAAGATGGCTCAAGGCAAGTAAATAAAGTGGATGCTAATAGGAAGATAAGAATGCCAAGATGAGCAAGACAAGATTGTGCAGGTGAGAATGTCATTATACGTATGCCAAAGATCACAATGCCATGATAAGTACGTCAAAGATGAGAATGTCATGATAAGTATGTCAAAGATCAGAATGCCATAATAAGTATTTCAAAGATGAGAATGTCATAAGTATGTCAAAGATCAGAATGTCATGATAAGTATTTCAAAGATGAGAATGTCATGATAAGTATGTCAAAGATGGAGATAGCCACACTAAGCATAAAAAAATCGCAATATTTCTTTACACCTCTTCACCTCCACAATTTCGAAGTAATAAAAAATAAAGAAATTACGAAAAAATTTACAGGAAGCTGGAGACCAATCACACACACACACACTGAAGCCCCCTATTCACGGCCTATCACAGACACACACACTGAAGCCCCCTATTCACGGCCTATCACAGACACACACACTGAAGCCCCCTATTCACGGCCTATCACAGACACACACACTGAAGCCCCCTATTCACGGCCTATCACAGACACACACACTGAAGCCCCCTATTCACGGCCTATCACAGACACACACACTAAAGCCCTGACCTATCACAGACACACACACTTAATCCCCCTATTTAAAACCTATAACAGGCACACACTAAAACCCCGGCCCATCACAGACACACACACTTAAGCCCCCTATTCACGACCTAACACAGGCACAAACACTAAATCCCTGAACTATCACAGACACACACACTAAAGCCTTAGCCTATTACATACTCATGTAGTAATGCCCTGACCTATTCATAACCTATCACAAGCACAGACACATATACACTCGCACAATCTGCACAGATAACATCATTCTTAAGAAACAACAGGAAACACAAACGTTAGGTACAGATCTAAACCATACAGTAGTTTATTCTCTTGCTTTACAGTGGCTTGCGAGTACAACTAAAGAATGAAGTATGTTAAGTTGGACTTTGTACATGTTGAAGAGAACAAACGAAATAGAAATAAAATAATAATGATAATAATAATAATATACAAGATCAAATGATACTTTCTAGCACACGCTTTGACTGATACAAGGAGACACGACAGGAAGTTCTGTGACACATGGATCAGCCAATCGTCTTTCAGTGACACACGGATGAGCCAATCGTCTTTCAGTGACACACGGATGAGCCAATCGTATTTCAGTGACACATGGATAAGCCAATCGTATAACAGCTATTTTTTTCTTCTACAAACAATAGATTACAAACATATGTATATGCATAATATAGTTATATAAATATTTATACACAAAAGCTCATGCAGACTTAGGTCAAGACCACCCAGTATGTGGGGCAGTTGGAAACAAAAAACAAAAAGACATTGAAACGAGAAAAGATCTACACACACTTTGTAAGTCCGCTCTGTTCATGTCTCACTTCCTGAAAGGGGAGCAACTATTGCTGCAGATCTTAATATAGCTCTTCGTTCACAAAAGTTATCTCTTGTATACTGCTAAGAAAACTTTCGTCCAAAGACAAGCACTGTGGTCTACAAGCAGAACCTCTTCCGATCCCTTAGTCATTCAGTCATTTAACCATTCAATCATCTAACCATTCAACCATTAAGTCTTTGATATATCGTGAGTAGACCTCAAACACACTCACACCACAACAAAGTTTGGTTTTAAAAGAAAAACAAAAGTTACACTCGACTAAGTGAAAACTAAATTGCAGGCCATCGAAAAAAAAAAAAAAAAAAGGTGGATCACTATATTAACAAAACAAAAATATAGTCACGTGATGCACAATGTTTCCATCCAGGTCAAATGTCAGTCAATCGTTTATTTATTTATTTATTTTTACAGCAAATAAAATAAAAATCAAAATCAATGAAGCATAATAAGGTTCAGGTCGACGTGACCTCCACTATGATGACGTCTGTGTGTGTATGTGTATGAATACGTGTTTGTATGTTTGTGTGTCAGTTGATATCCTAACATAAGGCAGATGTCGTGTTAACAAACAGGGCACCACCTGCAAAAGAGGAAGATGGAACTGAAGGGTGGGGGTGGGGGGCTCCTGTAGATGCACCACGGCAGCCCTCTCATGTCGGAGTCCAGCATTCAGAGAGCATTGAGGGCTTGGGGAGGGGGATGTTTCTACTTGAGCGCCTCTTCCATGCCTTCCTTCAGAGTCTGCAGGACGTAGGTGATGGCGATGGTGTAGATGTTTTGCATGTTGTCTGTGTACCTGTCGCCCAGCGTCACCCGTACGGCTTCTAAGAATGGCTCTTTTACATGCTGTCGAACAAACAAATCAAAGAAGGGGATGAGAAATTAGCAAACAAAAAAAAAAACAGGAAATAAACAAACAACAAACCAAGAAATAAACAAAGAACAAACAAGGAAATAGAGTATTACTAAAAGTAGAATCCTTAAAGTCATCTCAGAATCATTCGACTTTGATTGATCTGTGATTTCGTAGAGTGACGGTTGACTTCCTAGACAAATCGCTGGTAAGGGAAAAAAAAAGGGTGAGGTGGGGGGGTGGCTGCGATATTTGATGTGGAAAAGGGAAATACATTAGTCGTTGGGTTGACTTCTCGACACCCTCGTCAACATTCGTCGCCAACCGTGTAAGAAGAACTCAACCCCATCGCGAGTTCGATCTGGTCTCAGAATCTTCTGCGCTGTTTTAGGGTTCAGGTGACTAGTCCAGTATCAGACATGAACTCACAGTGGTTTTCCAGATCAGGCAGCTCGCTACATAAACTATCTTCTCTTAGGGTGATTTGGGGGGGAGCTCTGACTATTTTGTAACTTTTTGACATGTCAATTTTAAAGAGATCTATATGTGACAACTACAAACACAAACACAGGCTCACTCATTCCCCACCTCACACTCACATTCATACAGGCACACACATCAATCGGCCCAAACTTGTAAAACATAAAGGCCTTAAAGGAAGACAATAAAACTGGGCTGAAACTAATTCTAACAAGAAGGCTAGTGTGTTCAAGCAAGACTGGTCGCTATAGAAGGCCTCAACACTGACCAAGTGCTCGTTGCCACATCGAACCATTGGTCTCCACTGCCCACAGGTTGCGACATTACAGGTCATTAGGCCTTCTATGACGATTGGTCTCGGCTCTATCTATCTATCTATCTATCTATCTATCTATCTATCTATCTATCTATCTATCTATCTATCTATCTGTCTATCTATCTATCTATCTATCTATCTATCTATCTATCTATCTATCTATCTATCTATCTATCTATCTGTCTGTCTGTCTGTCTATCTGTCTGTCTGTCTGTCTGTCTGTCTGTCTATCTATCTATCTATCTATCTATCTATCTATCTATCTATCTATTCTTATTCCTATCTATTCATTAATATCATCCCATCAAAGTAACTCACCATGAAGTATGCTGGTTGAAACCCCGTAAACTTTGTGTGTGTCGATGACGTCCTGTAAAGTAGGTCCTTGACGTATTCGTAGTTATCTATGTGTGTGATGGCATCGTCCAGGGTGGTCATCACCAGGGTGGCGTGGTTCTCTAGCGCCTCGTTTGACCGTAACTCACTATCCGTCTTGATGTCTTTAAATCCTTTGAACATGGCCTGAAGTTCAGAATTACTGCGGAACAACCTGCAGGGGAAAAAGTGAAAGTAGAGATGTGAAATTCCCATGTACGTGCGTATAGGACATTGTTTTCTAAGAAATCATTTTAACAATACTTAAATAATTATTTAAAACTGGTTTTAGTTTTCACGAATAAAAAGATCACATGAAAAATAAAAATAGAAAGCTAGATCACATTTCGTCATCTAACTTGAATAATTCTAAACCACATCATTATGTTTACAAGGAGACATTACCCCCCCCCCCACACACACACATACACATTGTTTAAGATTGCATCTTATATTATATGTCTAGGATGACATCCAGATCTGTGCATCAAGAAACGAAGCTACAAGGTCGCATCGAGGCCCATGTCTAGCTACAGGGTCACATCGAGGCCCATGTCTAGCTACAGGGTCACATCGAGGCCCATGTATAGCCACAGGGTCACATCGAGGCCCATGTCTAGCTACAGGGTCACATCGAGGCCCATGTCTAGCTACATTTCATATTGAGGACCATATCCAGTTAAAGGGCCAAATTGAATCTCCAAAAACTACTTGACAAGTTCAGTGACATGATATAAAAAAGAGTGACACAGTCTGACAAAAGAACCCTATTGATGAAAGGAGTGACACAGTAAGAAACATTTAGAATTATATAAAAAAAAACATAGTCTGATACTGACGTGAGTATCATGAATAACAGTAGAGAATACTTCTATGCAGTAGAGAAGTTTTAATCTTGTTATGACAAAATCCTATTCAAATTTCTGCAACTGCAATTAAAAACAATTTTCTGGATAGTAAACTTAAAAAAGGCATGTCATAGTCAGACCGGAGCGAGATGAAAAGTCGAACTGAATCAACACGGAGCAGGAGTTACAACCAGAAAAGAAAAAACACCCGCCCAAATATCTTCAACCTAAATCAGATTGTGTGTTTCTCAGTCCATTGAAAGTAGCTGAACATGTGACACAAGGATTACCTAATGTTGTCAGAGATTAAAAAAAACAACTTTTCTCTTTTAGATGATTTCACCTAAAGATGTAGATCACTTCGAGATGTGGCTGTTTATCACCATTTTGTTGGCTATAAGGAGACGAAACAATTCAGCTATTGCCATACTCGTAATGATATTAAGTTAGACAGTACAAAGCTTTAAAAATTTCAGCCATTAATGAGGTCAAGACAAAAATGTTTTTTTTTAAAATCAGCATTGACAAGAGTGCTATGTAGCCAGCCCAATAAGTAGCTTTTTTTTTCATAATGTGTGAGAAAGAGAGGACATAGTGGCTACATTTAATCACACATTGTAAGATTCCCTCTTCCGAAGTTCCTGAGATTACAGACTAAATACTTTATCCCTTGACCAAGAACACCTTGAGATTGAAAGTAAAACTCACGCAATAAGAAGATTACAAGAGTTTTAAAAAGTGAACTGGAAACATGAACAAAACGAATTAAGTAAAAGAAATAATTATGCAAAAGTTCAGCTCGATCAGAGATTGGGTGTGGGAGAAATAACATGCACACATTTTTAGCAGACAGAGTTGATATAAGCTTTGTAAAAAGCAAGGCAAATTAGACGAACAATGGCACAAAGAAGTAAGAACTGAATCAATAGTTGTGATAAGTTTAAATAAGAAACCAAATAGAAACATAGGATCCTCTTTAGGTTTAACTTAAATTAATTGTTTGGCGAATCTCTCTTGCTTTCTTTACCTCTCTCTCTCTCTCTCTCTCTCTTGCCCCTCTTACTTTATTCAATTTATCTTTGTAATGTAATTTTCTTCTGCCCATGCACTGAGCCTAGCGAGTAATTAAGTTTACACTTATCGATTAGCATTAGAATAGAATAAAAAGTCTCTAATATTATTTACGTACCCCCCTCCCCACCTCTATGTTCGTTTATAATATATATATATATATTACTATGGCTACTTCTGTCTCGGAAGACAATGGATGCGCCCAGATGAGTCACTGGCTTTGGTTACGTCTTGAGATGGGGCAGAATCTGGAGTGACTGATCAAGCCAATTCTGGAGCGGCAAGAGTTTGCCACAGTTCGTGCATGTATATTCATTTCAGCCTACTTGTCGTTTTAAACTAAGCTCTAAGCACCCATCAGAGCAGGCAGGCTGTGGCGGATCAGCACCTAACTGTCTGGGGGCTGCCCAGGTTGAGGTGGGCGGTAGCTGATCAGTGCGTCCATACATTACGCCAATCAAGTTGGACTTATAACCCGTAACTGCTGTCTCCCGTGTTGTTTTAGCCGCTTGGCAGCAGCACCAGAGTTTCCTCTCCGGGGCGCATTCCTGGGCCTTAGATAAAGGAGTCATGGGTGGCCCATGCGTCATGATCCCTCTCTCGACCTTGCTGATGTGATCCAAAGTAACGCATCGCGTTACATTTGGCACCAACTCAGTTGCATAAGCTGCCGAGGGAATTTCATAGCTGATACTCCCAACGCCTAAAGGGCTTCACTCCTGATTTTTCCTCGAGGTTGTCTCCTGAAGCCTTATTACCGCAAGGCAGCGGGGGATTTGAAGTCAGAGTACCCCTCTCCTAGTCAGTCCTAGATGAACTGCCTTACTAGCTCCATCTGCCCAAAGCTTCTGATTTTGTGGTGCAAGGTATACGCCTTCACCCCTTCACCTGAAGAACTAGTGGCCAATAAACTACACGACACCCTTCCTCTCCCTATCTAAGGCTTGAATAAAGTCTAAAAAAGTGTTTAGCACTAAAAGTGTCTTGAGTTAAACTCCTGACTGAAGCTGAAGTAGTGAAGCCTGTGTTGGCTAATGAAATTTAAATCGCCCTGCTATAAGGATGATAGTAATATTATATAGCTGCCTGGTCGTGCGGTTTGCGCGCTGGACTGTCGTTCGGATTTATCGACGGTCGAGGGTTCAAACCCTGCCCGCTACCATCCCCAGTCGTCCTGCGGGAGGTTTAGACTGGGAAGTAAACTATCTTCAACTCTGAAGGAACATCCGAAACATGTAAAACATTTTATATTTTACAAACATATTACATCCAACCAAAGAAGGCTCAGACAATATTTCTGATAAAAACAAAAGTACTGATACTTGCAATTATAAGTAAGTAAAAATATATTAGTGGAATACAA